ATAAATATATAACAATAAAAAAAAAAAAAAAATGAAATAAAATAAAGATTTCAAAAAACTTTTCCCACTTTTTCCACTTTTCCATTTTTCTTTTTTTTTTTTTTTGCTTGCTTCGTAATTCAGCTTTCATTCAAAAAAAGAAAAGTAATCAAAAAAAAAAAAAAAAAAAAAAAAAAAAAACATTTTCTAAGCAATTATACTAAAAGTTCACACACACACACACACTCTCTCTCTTTCTTTCTCTCTTTGTCTCTCTTTCTTTCTCTCTTTCTCTCTCTCTATTTTTCTCTTTCTTCCTGTCTTTCTCTCTCTTTCCTTCTTTCTTTGTCTCTCTTTCTTTCTCTCTTTCTTCCTGTCTATCTCTTTCTTTCTCTCTCTCTCTCTTTCTTTCTCTCTTCCTCTCTCTCTATTTCTCTCTTTCTTTCTCTCTTTCTTTCTCTCTTTCTTTCTCTATTTCTCTCTCTCACTCTCTCTCTTTTTCTCTCTATTTCTCTCTTTCTCTCTCTATTTCTCTCTTTCTCTCCCTCTATTTCTCCCTTTCTCTTTCTATTTCTCCCTGTACGTGACAGAATATAAAAGAATTTTCATTCATCAATTGAAAAACGATTCAACATCAGGTGTGTGTGAGAGAGAGAGAGAGAAAAAAAAAACACTCTTTAATATGAAATTTAACTAATTCGATCGGGGAAAAATAGTAATAATAATAATAATAACAACTAACTAAATTGTTTCAAACGCGTTACAGTTTTTGAGAGTGTGCCCCGGCCCCTGACAAGAACGAAACCAACGAGAAAAATTTTATTTGAATGAACAAATCAAAACAAATCGCTGGGAAAAAAAATAGGTTGGAAAATCCGCGCCATGACAGGTTCGCAAGTCTCTCATCTTCTCTCTCTCTCTCTCAAAAAAAAAAATGAACGAATAATAAATTTCAACGAGTTGTATGCGCGTTTGTGTGAGTGCGTTCACACACTAAATGCATATGCTTTTTCGCGGTCAAATTGACGAGTATGTGCGTGTGTGCGTGTGCGTACACAATCGTGGAATCGATACCTTTTAGTACCTTAAAAATCCAAAACACGTCATATTAATATGCGGATATAAATGAAACGAAAACGTTTACGTGATCGGTAAAAGTGTCGTGCCTCCTCCTTTCCTCCATAATAAATATTTTTTTTTATTTTTTTATTCTTTTTCGTACCTCGTTTACATCATCATCATCATTATTCTCAACTTTTTTAAAATTCATTTTTGCAAGTTTTTTTTCGAAAGATTACGATTTCCGGTACTGTGACAGATTCAAAATTAAATTTCCTTTTACATAATGGCGGGCGCGAGCGCACGTGTGTGACAGGATAACCGAACCTTTGTTTTCGATCAGTACCGTAAAAAAATTTCTCTTCCTATTTTGTTACATAGTAATCCTTTTCTTAAGTCTTAATTATTATTATTATTATTATTATCACGAGTGTTAAAAAAAATAAACGACAAATAATAATAATAATAATAATAATGAACCGGAACCGGTGTTTCATTAAATGATGATACCGCAGGAAAACAAATTTTTTTTTTTTCTACTACTACTTTATATATATCTAGAACAGGAAGACCCCGACCGGAAAACGTATATTATTATTATGATTATTATTAGGAAGAACAAGGAAAGAGGGGGATCGTCGTAAAGGAAATGATATTCCAGAGAGGAAGAGGGAGGAAGGGGAACGGGGGGGGGATTTGCGAGACTACACAAAATAAAAGTGTTTTTTTTAACATCCGAAATGTGTGTGCGAAAAGTAAAACGGAAACAAATTGGCAATTTTTAATTTAATAAAAAAAAAAAAAAAAATTAAATGGCGGGCGTGGTTTGTGTGGTTTATATAGAAAAACTTACTAGAACGTTGCAAAATAAAAAAACAAAAAACTTTGCCAAAAAAAAAAAAAAAAGCTTGCATGTAAATTAATGAAGCAGAAAAAAAAAAAAAAAAAAATTATTTGATCACGCGAACGATGTGTTACTATAACCACACGAAGGAAGGTCGTCGTCATATATTTTTCCCCCCCCTCCCGCCCCCGCCTCCCTCGTTCATTCATTTCATTCAGTCGCAAAACTTTTTCATTTTCATTTTTCATTTTTCTTTAATATTTTACAATTCGTTATGTTAATCGAAGTAAGGAAATTTGCGTGTGAAAAGTGCGTGAGTGCGTGTGCGGATGATTCCATTCGTTTATTATCATAAGAGCTTTCATCCTCTTGAAAAATTAATTTTAATCGGTATTTACACACGAATTTTAACAAACCCACCTTAACGCCCCTCCCCCCTCACACCCATCCACCCCCCCCGTTTTTCCCACGAGCCGCAAACTTTCGATAATAATAATAATAATAATAATTTAATATATAATGTTAATAACCATTTTCCCTACGAAAAGTCGTAAGCCAACCCTAAAATAAGTTTAATAATACGTATAATTAATTAATTAATTTGAAAGATATTTTTAACGGTTACGGTTTTAATGAAAAATTATTATTATTATTATTATTACTTAGAGTATGCGTCGACGCACCCTCCCCTCCCCCCACGAGTGTAATAACGGAAAAATAATTTTTAACCCTTTTTGTTACTAAAAAAAAAAAAAAAAAAAATTCCCCTGCACAACAATAACCTTCAAGTTTAATAATTCAAATACAATCACGACGACGATAATAATAATAATGATGATAATGATGATGATGATGATGATGATCATATAAAGGTTCGTATTTGTCTCTTTTTTTTTTTTTTTTAAACGAAATGAAATAGTTTTAAAAAAAAAAAAAAAAATTAGAAACGATTAGTCCTACAACAAAAATAAAAACAGTTGATAGAGGAGACAGAGAGAGAGAGAGAGAGAGAGAGACAAAAAGAGAGAGAGAGAGAGAGAGAGAGAGAGAGAGAGAGAGAGAGAGAGAGAGAAAACGACTCCCTATTTAGACTAAACATAAACGAAAAAAAAGAAAAAAAAAAGGCAATAAATAAATTTTTTAGAAAGGAATAACTAACTAACTAACGACTGACTCCGTTCGAAAAATTGTATTTATAATAAATAAAAAAAAAAAAAAAAAAATATTATATGAAAAAACGATAAAATAGTTTTTTTTTTTTTTTTTTTTTTTTTTTTTCATTTTTAGATTAGTAGTACTAAAAGTGGTTCACGAAATTTCGTGTCTTGATTATTATTATTATTATTATTATTATTATTATTATTATTTAAATTCTTTCAATAAGAAAGATTTATGAGAGAGAGAGAGAAATTAAAGAAAATCCATTTTCTCTCATTTTTCTTTCCTCTTCTCTTCTCTTTTTTTTTAAATGCAAACAAACGTTTTGAAAAATTAGGGAGGGGGAGGGGAGGAAGGGGAGGGAACAACCACAACAACAACAAGTCTTTCAAAATTATAAAAAAAAAATTCATTATTAAAAACTTTTTTGAATTGAATCGAAAGGTTTCGAATAAATTTTTTTTTTTTTTTTGTAATGAGGAAAAATGAGGAAATTTTCAATTAAAAATGGAAAATGAAGGGAGAGAGGGGAAGGAGAGGGGCAAGGGAGGGAAGGAGTTAATGAATTTAATACATATATACGAGTCATATCGTTTTCATTATTCAAACATTTCTTTTCCCTTTTTTTTTTTTTTGAAATTTTTTCTCCGCCACTTTCGAAATTTTTATGAAACGAATTCGAAAAACAAAACCCACGAAATAAACGACGTTTATGATTGAATTCATAACAGAATTTCCTCTCTCTCTCTCTCTCTTTTTTTTTTCATAAAATAAAATTCATAACTTATTGTAAATATTTACTCATTTAAAAATCTATTGCAAAAGAAGCTAAGAAAACAAACAAATATGAAAAATTGTAATTCACAATTAAAAAAAAAAAAAAAAAAAAAACAAACTCATTTTTCTTATTCATTTTTTTTTTTTTTTTTTTTTTGATATAAAATAAATTTTAAAATGCATGAATGAAAAAAAAAAAAAATTCACTCAACTTTCAACAAAAGCATATATATATATTTTGTTTATAAATAGTTTCAATCAATTAATGATATCACATCCTGTGATTCCATTTAAAGCTCTTTTTTAAACGCAATTTAATTATTTTTGCATGTTATAAACAGAATTTTTAATTGAGACGTTAAATAAAAACTTTTTATATTATTTATACCACGTAATGGTGTGTACGCACACGCACACACACACACACACACACACAAAACACACATACAACATTCGATATTTTTTAAAAACATTTACAAAATTTTCTTTTTTATCGAAAACTTTCTTTTTATCATTATATGTAAAGAGTTGAGTTGAAAAGGGTTTTCCTTTCTTTCCTTTTCCTTTTTTTTTTTTGGGGGGGGAGGGGGGAAAGAATAACACTTAACATTTTATTATATCGAACAACAACAAAAGACTTCATTTTCTCGAACTCGAATTTAATTGGTGGTAAGTTTTTTTTTTTTTTTTTTTTTTTTTTTTAATATAAACAAAATCATTTATTTGAACAAAAATTTGATGATGATAATAATAATAATTTTATGTATGTAAGTGACAAGTTGAATTTAAAAAAAAATGTAAGCATTTTTCTGAAAATTATCTTGAAAAAATATTGTTAATCGATTGATTTCGACAAACTCATTAAAAAGAAAAAAAATAAATTTAACAGAAGGAGGAGGGGAGAGTGTTTTGTGATAATTTTTGATAATTTTTACAAATCTCAATTTTTTAAAACTTTAAAATAAAATATTACATACAGAGTTCACAAAACTAATAAAATTAAGCATTTGGGTTGACACAATGATATGAGCACCCACTTAAAAATTTAGCCCACATTCTCGAAAGAAATTTTTTATATGTAAATGTATTTTTAAACTTGTAAATCGTTAGCTTTCAGATAAATAATTAAAACGATATGATGTATTTTAATGAAATTATTGAAAAGTATTTTGAGGTCTCTTACCTGTTGCCGAAATTACTTTTCCAAAATTCAGCTGCATCACTTTTAGTGATTCTAAATTGATCACCAGCGAAAAGCCCATTGGGAAAAATTGCTTTAAGCTCGCTAAGCATATGACTAAAAACTAAACTTAATTTAGTCAAATTTCTTCTATAATGTGAATTTTCATCAAACATTTTTTCCTTTCCTTCTTTAAATAGTTTAATAGCTTGCTTGCACTTTCTCATTAAATTAACGATAAATACATTAAAGTGTTCATTGCTATGTAAAACAGTCATTTTATCTTCGTATTTTGTATAAATTAATCTCAGTCTTTGATAAGTGTCTGGCAATATATCCAATATAAATGGTGGTGAATTTTTTAAATTCATTTTTTGGTGCTGACATAATTTAACTACTTTATCCATTAGTTTCCACGTTTTATCTAATGTTCTTTTATCTGTTGCTACTTTTGGCGGAGCCATTGCCTCGGCAAAGGCTCCATGAAGTTTTGAAAATATCGAAGTTATATTTTTATGTTGAGCGGGACGAGTCCTACTGTTCGCCGCCATCATGAAAGATACATATTCTTAACGTAACGAAAAAAAACACTTTTAATACCACTTTCGAATTTTTTTTTTTTTTTTTTTACGAATAAAACATAACTGATTCGTTATTTCGGTTATTGAATTTTTTTTTCTAATGTAACTATAAGTTTAATCAATCATGACTTAAATAAGATAAAAAAAAATCTCAAGTATTTGTAAATTATAACACCCACTGTTGCTCGAAAACCGCATCATGCACTTTATTTATTCCCGTTTAAAATTCAAACGTAATTTTTTTCAAAATTCTGCTAAAGAATTATGTCTTACTTTAAATATGTATTTAAATCCGAATATAATTATTTTACTCGAATACTTCTCGGTCATAAAATCACGACTGATGTCTACTAGGTAGATTTATTAAAGTTCACAATTTTAAGATAATGGTGGCTACATTGAAAATTTTAATTCAAAAAAAAAGTTAACGAGTGCGCCACCGTCAATACTTATAAATTTTTTTTTTTTTTGGCGACATTTACGGTAATAATTTTCAATAACGGAATTTACAAAAACGAAATATCAAATTATTAAAATAACGACAAAACAAATAATAATAATTTTTAAAATAAATTATAAACGTTTTAATTATTTTTTTTAGGACTAAATGACAAAATTTACTGTACATGGTAATAATATTTTCAATAATTCAATAAATTGAATGTGAGAAATTATTTTTAAGCTTAAAAATAATTAATAACCATTTAAAATATAAAATGAAATATATATAAATATATATTTAGCCTTGATTGATATCGATGATTCTGTTTGTGGTTTATGCATTATATAAAAAAGCTTTCAAGCTTTAGTGTGAATTTAATTAATTTCATAATTTTTATTTCATGAGAAAAATTGAATTTTTGTCAACTTCTTTTCAATGGAGATCTGATAGTTGATAATGTAAGAAGAGCAAAACTTATTATAAAGTACCAACTCGGAGGAATCGAACAAAGTAGTCTGTATCTTTTTTCTAAAAAAATAAAATAATAATAATGATATAATACAAGAATTTTCCAAAAAAAAAAAAAAATTGTAATCTTTTCGAAAAAGAGTAAAGTAATACCTGTCATGAATGTTTTTTTCTTAGGAATTGCCCATCCCATACTTCTTTTAACTGCCATTAACCATTTTTCATGTCTTGAATTTCTTTCTGAAAATGATTAAAATTTATTTTAAAAATTTAATTTGATTTTGGGGGAAAAAAAAAAATTTGAAAGACATCCAACCTTCTTCTGTGGTAGCGGGTGAAAATGTAACAAAATTAATTTTTGAAAAATTTTCCTTTTCTTCATTATCATCAAATTTCCAAATTTCTATACCTTCCGCTTGAGCAGCAGCCACAGCTACACCCAAAGCAGATGAATTTGTAATTTTTGGACAAACTACGAGACAAAAAAATTTTTTAATTATTAATTTTTCTTTTGTAAATTGAAAATTTCCTAATGTAAATTCACTCACCTACAGGAATACCAGTTAAATCAGCTTGAAGTTGCATTAATAAATTATTTTTAGTCAATATACCATCTGCTCGAAGATAAGTCGGAGAGTAACCGCAATCTTTTGCCATGGCTTCCAAAACATCTCTTGTTTGAAAGCAAACAGCTTCTAATGTGGCACGAATAATGTGTCCCTTTGTTGTAAAATGTGTTAATCCACACAATATTCTAAATGAAAATTATTTTTTTTTTTTTTTTTAATGGTTGTAATTAATAAAAGGAAAATTACCATTATTATTTTTATTTACCCTCTCGCATCTTTTCTCCAGTAGGGAGCGAAAAGTCCTTTAAAAGCTGGTACAAAATAAACATCTCCAGTTGTCATAACTTCTTCTGCTAATGTTTCAGTTTCTTCATAATTTTTCAACAAGTTTAATTTATCTCTCAGCCATTTAATAGCTGTTCCAGCAACTGCAACAGATCCTTCAAGAGCATACACAGGTGGACTGGATTTTCCCATTTTATATGCCACGGTCGTTACCAAACCGTGATTAGAATTAACTCTCTGAAAAGAGAATAAAATCAATAACAGTATTTTAGATTTTTTTTTTAAAATATAAAAACACTTTTAAATTCATTCCTTACTTGAAAACCAGTATTGCATAATAAGAAACAACCACTCCGATAAGTATTTTTTGTCATTCCTCTTTTTAAACAATTCAAACCAACAAGAGCAGCTTGTTGATTACCTAAAATCTAATATAAATTTCTAATTCATTACAGAAAAACATTTAATCTGAAAACAAATTCTGATGTAAAACCTAAATTGCCTTCATTAAAACTTACCCCTGATACAGGAATACCTTCGAGTAGTTTTTCTTTTATGTACCCATAAATTTCGGATGAACTTCGAATATCAGGGAGCATTCTACTTGGAATTTTAAAGTATCTATAAAATTAAAAAGAAAAAAAAACTCAAACAATATAAATTTTAATCCAAAAATTAACTTTCCATTATAATTAATAATAAGTATGAGTACTTAAGCAAAATTGGATCCCAATTAAGCGTATCCAAATTCATTAACATTGTACGAGATGCATTTGTTACATCCGTGGCATGAATTCCACCGACAGGTCCTCCAGTTAAATTCTGAGAATGTAAATTTAAATGAATGAAATTTAATTTTAATTACTGGAAAAAATATAAAAATTATATTTTTTACCCATAGCAACCAAGTATCGATTGTTCCAAACAAGCATTTTTTTTCCTTCACAGCTTTTTTCACAAGTGGTACATTATCAATAAGCCATTGAATTTTAAATGCACTGAAATATGGATTGACTGGAAGACCACATATGGGCTTTAGATAATTCTTGCTATTATCTGGTAATTTTGCCAATACTTGATCAACAATACCATCCGTTCTAATATCGGACCATACTAAAATAAAAAATTTTCAATCAATCAATCGATTGCATATTAAACGAATATGAAAAAATTTTTAATATAAAAAAAATTAACAAACCGATTGCATTATAAATAGGTAAACCGGTTGAACAATCCCATAAAACTGTGGTTTCCCTTTGATTAGTGATACCGATTGTAGCGATATCATCTTTATTAACAAATTTAAGTACTGCTGTTATACATAATTTAACAGCACCTAAAATTTCTAATGGATCTTGTTCAACCCATCCTTCTTTCGGTGTGTATGTTTTTATATCAATTTCATGTGAATTAACTTCTTTTCTTGTCACTGCATCGAATAACTAACAATAAAAAATTATTAATATTTAATTAATTATAAAAACTTTATTTTAAATAAAACTAAAAAAAAAACTTACAATGAATCTCACTGTACTTGTTCCTTCATCTATCACACCAATGTACTTCATATCTATCGATATTTTAAATTACTGTAACCGAAAAAAAATTGTTTTTTTTTTACATGAAATTTATCATTATCAATAGATTTTTATCAAAATTAATTATAGATTTTTATTATAATTAATTAAATTTTAATTTTTTAATGAGTAAACAACAAATATTTTCCTTAATGATGATAATTCAAAAAAAAAATAGAAAACAATAATGTGATGAAATAATGAAGAAATTAAGAAGAAAACATACTTTTTTAAAAAATGAAATCACTCACAAATTGTAAAGAAGAGAAAAACTTTTTATATAAAATCCATGAAAGGGATTATAAATAAAATGAGCCCAAAGTACAAAGATTAATAATTTTTCAAAATATTACCATATCACCATTAAAAAATTTGCAGAACTTGTGAATACATATATACATACATATTTAGTTTGATAACATATTTTTGATAATGAAAAATAAAAAAAATCTCAAACTGTTCATAAAATAATGATTTTTATCATATTATTATTAAATTTTTCCTTTTTTTTTAATTATTTCTCCACTTTTTAAATCGATAACATACTAAAATAAAAATTAATGTAAAATGCCAAAGGAGTTTTTATATTTATTTTTATTCATTTCAAAATTACTACAACATTTTTTCCCTCTCCCTCCTCTCTCCCCTTCCCTTCCCTTCCCTCCCCATTAAAATATCAACCTTGATGATAATATTTATTATTATTAAAATAATTAAATAAGATTTTTTTAATGAGAAAAATTCTAACATCTTCAAAGTAGAAAAATTACATTAAGGTTAAACATACTTACAAATATATTGAGTGTAATTATTTCGTTTTTTTTTTTTTCAATAAATAAATATGATTGCCAGTTAATAAAATCCATGAGTAATAATAATAATAATAATAATAATAATAATTGATAAAGAACATAATTTACTGAATGGATTAATATATATATATATATATATATTTTCACATCGTTCCTTTTTTTAATTTTTTTTTTTTTTACACGTTAATCGAATATTGCAAGACCAGCAGCAGCATCTATGGCAGAAACGTATAATTTTTTTTTTTTTTTTTTGTTATATCCAACTGCCAACTTTATACATTTTGATTAATTAATTAATATATAAATATATTTTTTTCTCGTTTTTTTTTTTTTTATTTTTATTTAAACGAAAAACCGAAACAAATAACTCAAAAAAAGAAACAAACAAATCATTTATATTTTACTTTAAATAATGTAAACATTTTGTTATTATTAATGTTTTCGCGGTAGCAGCCGAATTTTTTTTAAAGGCAAATGTTTGTTCCGTTATAACGAATTCCGTTTATTTAAATTTTTTCCCTTTTTTTTGTCTTAATTTTCTCGTTTTTTTTTATTTCTTAATCATTTTTCAAACGTAAAAAAAAATTATTTTTTCCTTTTTATTCATCACCTAATCTATTAAAATTCTTATCAAATCTCATAAATAAGCAATAATTTTTAATTTCCAATTAACAAAATGGCGGTTATTCAGTATTGATTTCGAATAATAATTTTTTTTTCCTTCTCAATTCCATTTTAATGTTGTATAAATCGATGATAAAAAAAAATTAACACGTGTAATTTGTATTATTTAACACGTGGTGTAATTTTAGCCCATAAATAAATTTTAAATCGCACGATCAAGTTTGAAAAAAAAAAAAAATTAAAATTTTATTAATTACAAAAACATGGTTTTCTAATTTTAACGGACAAACAAATAAATGACGTCATCACAATTAATTCGCCATTAATTATTATTTAATTATATTTACGACAAATTAATCGTTAGAAATTCGTTTGTTTGTTTTATTCATTAGTTATAATTTACAATCGTCTCTTAGAATTAAATCACAAATTTTTTTTTACTGCTAAATATCACTCAGGTATTAGATGACGATTAATAAAAAAAATAAAATTTTAAGGTGCCAAAGCTTCTGGTATTGTCGATCCGCAGGGTCCTTTGAAATGAAAACTGTAACGACAAAAAAAAAATTTCGATAACGAATCAGTTTCGTTTCGATCGATGATATTGATTTGATGATGATCGATAATATTTACTCGAAATCTCCAGTTGCTGGAGTTGATTCAATGTTAAATTCTGCAACGGATACTCCTCGATACGCCACCTGCGGAGCAAACATGGCTGCCGGATAAACGACGGAAGACGTACCGACGACCAAACACAAATCGCATTCGTTGACAGCTTTTTCTATTGGGACAAAAGAAAAAAAGAATAATAATATTATTTCTTGAGGAGCATACATTAATAATAATAATAATAATAATTGACTCACCCGTCAATTCCAAAACTTTCGGATCTAAATTTTCACCGAACCAAACAATGTGCGGTCTCAAAAGTCCTCCGCAATTTTCTTTCTTACATCTTGGCAAAAGCTTTTCCGGTATGTCGGCAGATTCAGCACACGGATCGGGCGCTCTGGAAAAATTTTTTTTAATTAACTCTCCCTAAAAGTTTCCCGGGGGGGGGGTGGGAAGAAATTTTAAGAAATGATTTACGAGTCGCATCGAACCCTTTTCCATCCAAAGCCGAGCACACGGGACTATCGTAATTTTCCCGTATTTCTTTACATTTCAGGCATCTCGTTTTGAAAAGTGATCCGTGAAGTTCTATGACGTCACTAGCCCCTGCCCTCTTATGCAATTCGTCAATGTTTTGCGTTATTATCCATACTTTTTTCCCTTCTTTGGCAAAACGATTTTGACACTCTGCGATCGCTTTATGAGCCTGAAAGTACACAAAAACCAATGAAATTTTAAAATTAATTAACTCCTTCGGTTTGACGGGGGGTGGGGGGAGGTAACAAACAAACAACCGACGATGACTTGAAGAATTTTTAATCAAAGTCCCAAGTCACCGCGGTTAATTAAAAAATCAATCAATTTTTTTTTTTTATTTAAATTTTGACCTTCCGAAAGGGCAAACAAGTGAACAAACAAACAAACAAACAAAACGTTTATGTAAACTTACGTTATTGGGTTCTTTCGTCAAAGCCGTTTCCCTTCTGTGATGATAAAATTCCCAAACGAGTGACGGATTTGCGCGAAAAGCTTCCGGCGTCGCTAAATTTTGCGCCTGATATTTTCTCCAGTAACCTCCGGGTCCACGAAATGTGGGGATGCCAGATTCCGCCGACACTCCCGCTCCCGTCAGTATCAGCAAATTTTTCGAACGTTTGAATACGTCACGAAATGCAGCCATGTTGGAAGATGGTCGTTGAATTGACGTCATCGCCGTGGCAAAAATTGACGTTTTCGATTTGAACAGGGATACCGGAAGTCGATGTGTCCAATATGTTTGCAACAACATAACCTTTACACTACGAAAAACGTTTTTCTTTTTGTTTTCTAAAAATATTTTACTTATCCGAATAATTTATTTACATCAACTGGAAAAATATTTTTAAAAAATTTTTCAATACCTAAAAAACCCGTCACACGCATTTTATTACGAGAAATCTTTTTTCATGTCAAAAAGGTTTGTCAAATCCTCGACGGTAACTTTTTTCTGCACCCACTTTTCTTTTCCCTCGCTACTCACAGCGTCGTTGATTTTTTCCTCTATCGTTCCCTTAATTAAAAATTTATGTACCGTCGTTTTTTTCGTCTGACCGATCCTGTGCACTCTCCCGACGGCTTGCAATTCTTCGGCCGGATTCATGATGGGCTCGACGAGAAAAACGTGATTGGCTTCCGTCAGGTTCAAACCTTTCGATCCCCACGATATGGGGAGTAACAATGCCGTCACTTTCAAATTAGGATCTTTGAATTGTTTCAAATGTATTTGATAATTGTGACCCGGCATACGGCGAAAAGAAATGTTGTTTTGAGTCAGCGCGACTTCCAAAATTTTCAAAACGACTCCCCACGTTGAAAAAATTAAAACTTTGACGTTTTCGTCTTCCCTCTTTAACGACAGCAAACTCCTCACGATTCCGTCGACTTTCGTCGAATGATCCCCGATGACTTTTATTCCGGAATCCTCTTGATTCCCGCTCATATCGATGAAACCCAAATCGCAACTTTTTGTCGTTTCTCGACAAACGGGACACGACAGCGAGGGTTTCGAACTTCTCGTCAACATTATACGAATGCAATCGATGCAAAAGGAATGACCGCACTGGAGAACGCACCATTCGTTTTCCAAAACCGTTTTGCAAACGGGACACGGTTCGGGTTTCGGATTTTCTTTCTGACCCAAATTTTTCAAATACAAAAGAGTTCCATATTTTTTTTTAAATTCGCTTTTCGATTGTTCGAGTTCGCTCGTGAGTTTAAGTCTTTGAGGTTCGACTTCGTGATTTTCGATAATGAAAATCGTTTCAACCTTGTTTTGCTCTTTCAAACTTAAATTCGACGACTTTTTCGGCGGAAGTGGTTCGTCCGGTAGTCTCAATCTCAATCTCAATTTACACATTGATATTTCATCGAACGCTTGAACTTGATGATTGATGCTCATCCAAACGGCTCGGATTTGTTTGAACTCCTTTTTCATGGCTTCCAAAATTTGCACGTGAGTTTTGCCATCGTTCACGCACCAGGTTTCCATATTTTTTTTCGATTTGCTAACGTTTAACAACGCTTTCAAACATTTTTCGGCTTTGTGTGCTCTCCATGATCCTTTCGTCTGTGCTCCGTCTATTGCTTTTTCGTAATTATCTCTCAAAACTTTTCTCGACACGTCAAACAACGAACATTCATAGTCCAATAAAACCGACTCGCAAATGCAAAGCTGACATTTTTTTTTCTCTTTTTTTTTTGCATCTCCAGACGTCGTCGATCTTAAATGACAATCGACGGCACTCCCGACGAGACTTTCGTTAGACATTTCTCTCAGGGTTTCTAAATTTTTCAATGCTTTTTCGCGATTTTCTTTGATTCCCGTCAACCAATTCCTGAGCATGATTTCGACTCCTTTCACGGATGATATTTTGCTGAGGAAAAATTCGACTTGTTTTTTCGTGTCAACTTCATTCGTTATCAATTCCGTTTCGATCTTGTCTTTCAATTCTCTTATCGAACCATCGACCGTCAATATGTGTATAGCTCGATTCCACCAAACTCCAGGGGCGGATTCGAAATTTTTTTCCAGATTAGATATTTTCGATGTCAAACCGTTTAAAATATTTTCATCCGATTTCAAGTCTGCAATGGCGTTTTCCATGTACTTGTCTTCTAATATTTTAGCATGGGATATCAAAGACTCATCTCTTAGCGTGGGTGGTATGCCTTCCGAATGATACTGCAACACTTCAGCCAAATTTGTCAATGTATGAATCCTTTGAAGGGAGTCAACGTGAATTTTTTCTTTGTGTTCTTCGACTATTTGCAAAACTTGCCGGTAGTATTCCACGGCCGTACTCCATTCTTCCAAAATGGTGTGTATTCCAGCCAAACCGTTTAAAGTTGCTATGTGTAATCTCATCGCCTCTTCGCATTCTACTTTTGTTTTGTTAAACAAATACTGCAACAATTCGGAAAGAGTCATGTTACCCGTTTTGCTGAATATTTTGCTTCCTTTCACCGCCATGGGGTGCGAACAAGCTTGCCGGAGGTTAAGCAACGGTGCCAGAAGACTTGTTAGAGTGGTTTTATCCAGCGAATCTATCGTTCGATTCTTTTCCAAGCCTAATCGAAACAATCGTTCGGAAAAATCAGTAGAGCTCACAGAATGTTCTCTCATGTAAAAATTTTGCTCGATGGCTGAAAATTTTAAAAAATGATACTGAACCGTTTGCTCGGGTAAATTTAATTCGGATGCCACATCCTCTTTGGAATTTCTCCAAAAAATTTTACTCAAAACCGAATAAAGCGGAATTTTATTACCGTTGATGAAAGGCTGATATAAAAAATTATGCCATAATGATTTTTCGGTAAACGGCTCTACTTTGAGCCATTCTATCAAGTAATATAATTCGTTAATTGATTTTTGTATCGGAGTACCCGTGACAGACCAACGATTAATGGCAGAGATCAAATTTACCATTTGATTGATTTGAGAATGATCGTTTTCGACCATTTGAGCTTCATCCAAGCACAGACGCCACCATTGTACTTGAGTTAAAGGCGAACTCATTTTTAAAAACCTTTCTTCGTTCCTTAGTTTTCTATCACCTCCGTGTTGGGTAGTGTGATTAAACTCGGACCCCAAAATTGTATACGTTGTGACGACAATATCGTTGGCAGCTAAAACAGAAGGCTGAACGAAACCATCTTTTAAACCGTTATACATGAATACTCCATTGCTTAAAGCATTCGGTTTTACATGCTTATTTATTTCGTCGAACCACTGATGGTAAATGGATGCGGGAGCTATTATTAATGTTGCGCCCGAACACACCAATTTTTGTTTAGGCCAACACGAAGGACAATAATATAAAAATTTTTCATTAAATCCAACGCATTCGCCATGTTGCCATCTTTTACATTCTGGACACTCGACGCAAATTTCTCTTTTTTTCGATGCAAAGTTTCCACATATGCATTTAATTTTATTATTTTCTTTACTTTTTAATTTATTTGCAGGTCCTGCACTGTATTCTGCTAATTTTGATTCGTACCATTCATTCAAAGCTTTTCTCAAAGCTGAACCCCTTGATACATTATTAAGAATTAATTTTTCATGAGCATTTAAACAACCTTCTTTATTTTTTGCTATTATCTCACTATTGTTTTTCACACAGTTATTCGAATTGTGCAACATTTTTTTATGAGTTTCGTTCAAAGCATGTGGAAGCAAATAACTTGTTTCGTTTTCTTTTTCAACATTAAATTTATGATTTAGAATGAGAGAAATGATAGCCACTGTTTTTCCCAAACCCATTTCATCTGCTAAAATTCCACCTTTTGGAAAAGGAAGAAAATTAACCATTTCCAACGTTAATAGACCTGTATATTTATTGTAGTAAATTTTATTGTTGCATTTCGAAGTAAGTGTTTCAATCACAGTTGAAATCCAATTAAAATTCTGAACTTGCAATTCGCAGCTTTCTCGAAAAATCATCCATTCGACAGCCTTTTCTTGATATGGTCTTAATACTGGTATGAGATCATCTTGATTAATATTTTTTTCAGGAACTTTTTCATCTAGTTTTTGATAATTTTGAATTTCTTTGAAAAATTCTTGTATAAAACCTTTTTTACAATTACCGTTTTCTATGAATTCATTTGAAAATGTTTTTGAAAAAAATAAATTTATGAGGGATGTGGCTTTCGATATAGGAGTTTTTTCAGGTGTAATGACAATTTTTACTTTTAAAACTTTTTCCGTTAAAGCTTTTTCATCAATAATCCAGTAAAATTTATGCTGCAATAAATCATCAATGATTAATAAGAGTATATCATCATTCATTTCTAAATTTACAAGTTTAAATGAATTTTTATTGCTGCATGAACTAATTTTAAGAATTATCTTTATAATTTCTTCCGTATCATTTACTAAAAATAGATATTCACAATTGTCCATATCGAAATCGACAAAATTAATTTCATCGAATGAAAATGTCAACTCACCCAATATCACACCACCATTAGGAACAACTTTTAATAATTTTTTTATTTTAAACTTTGTCCTATTTTTAAACTTATTAATTAATATATTTTCACTTAAAGCTTCCTGGAATGTAACTCTTTTTTTTTTAGGAGTACTAAAAGATGCTTCAAATTCAGACGGATAACTTTGGTTAAGTTTTAACGGACAAAAATTTTTTCTTTTCGACATTATTGAATCCAAGTTTTATCAAAATGATTTAAATAATTTAACTAAAACAAACATATTAGTATAGTAATGGAAGTTTAAAGTTAAAAGCATTCCAAAAATGTACAAATAAATTAAATTCAATCATACAACTTGACAATTTTAATTTCAAATTTTACGAAACAATAAATGTTGATTTTTTGTTCACAAAAGGTCTAAATAAAACTATTCACTATTAAATAAAACTCACAATTAAAAACCAACTAAAATAAATTACATTAAAAACTTATTTTTTATTGCCGAATAAAGTTACTATATACAATGTATACATAACATATATTTACATTAGAGTAGTAACTTTATTTCTTTAATAAATAAAAAATAGTAATTTTATTTCTTTAAATAAATAATAATTACCGTAAAATAAAATAACGTGAGTTTCACGTTAAAACAATTTCACATTATAAAATAAAAAAAAAAACTTTAAAAAATGACTTTTTAATCAGTGAAAATATATATAATTACCAAATAGAAATTTCAAACATAATGTCATTTACTAAATCGAGCTTAATTAAGTTGGCAATACTGAAAAATCATGAAAAATCAATGTTGATAGACAAATTGGTTAAATAATATAATAATAATATAAGGAAATAAGAATTTTTTATGTGATGGTTTATTCAGATAGGACATGGTGAATGGTTTGTTTCTTTATAATAAAATAATTAAAAAAACAAGCTCTCAAAATTAAATCATTATTTTATTGGTTTTGTATTAGCATAAATTTTAAAGGTAAGATTTTTTTAGCGTTTTTAAGATAAAGGTCGATAACCCAAGCTATATTGTATTTATTTAATATTTTGTAATATGATGTCAAACTATGATTTATTTTTTACAAGATTGACTCAGTGTGGGGTTGGGCCTGCCCTCCCCTTCGCCTGCATTTGGCACCACCAACTCGCAGGATGGGGGAGATGGTTTTAGGGGAGCGGCCCCCATCGCCAGCAAGATTATCTCATACATCAGAGAAACATCCTAAAAGTACTCTAACCGAACTTAATGTTTTAAGAAGGCATAGAGAGCTTTGTGATGTAGTTTTGAATGTTGGGAACAGAAAAATCTTTGCTCACAGGTTTGAATTTGATTACTTAGTTTTATTATTCATATTCTTAGCCTTTTAGTCTTAAAAAGTTTTTTTTTTTTTTTTGTCACAGAGCCATACTTGCAGCCTGCAGCCCTTATTTTAGAGCCATGTTTACTGGAGAACTATCTGAATCAAGGCAAACTGAAGTTACTATAAGGGACATAGATGAAGTAGCAATGGAACTTTTAATCGATTTCTGTTATACTTCTCATATTGTTGTCGAAGAAGGAAATGTACAAACTTTATTGCCTGCAGGTATGCAAATTTTCATTTAAATAAAATTACTTGAAAACATTTCTTTTATATTTACTTATGGCAAAATATTATTTTTAGCTTGCCTTTTGCAATTGGTAGAAATTCAAGATATTTGTTGTGAATTTCTAAAAAGACAACTAGACCCTAGTAACTGTCTAGGAATTAGAGCTTTTGCAGATACTCACTCTTGCAGGGAGCTTTTAAGGATAGCCGATAAATTTACCCAACACAATTTTCAAGATGTTGGTATCAAATCGTAAAAAAAAAGTTTCATTTTTTGTTATTTCAGTAATCATGACAATGTACTTTTTGCAGGTTATGGAGAGTGAAGAATTTTTACTATTACCTGCTGGACAATTAGTCGATATAATATCAAGTGATGAGCTGAATGTCAGATCGGAAGAACAAGTTTACAGTGCTGTCATGAATTGGTTAAAATATAATGTATCTGAACGAAGGCAACATTTAGCTCAAGTAATAATTATAAATTTAATTTTTAAAAATTTAATCATAAATTCAAATGTTTACCATTTCTTTTCAATAATCAATTCAAGGTATTGCAACATGTTCGTTTACCTCTATTAAGTCCCAAGTTTTTAGTCGGAACTGTAGGCTCCGATTTACTCGTCAGAAGTGATGAAGCATGCAGAGATTTAGTAGATGAAGCCAAAAATTATTTATTACTTCCTCAAGAAAGACCATTAATGCAAGGACCAAGAACAAGGCCTAGAAGGCCTACCAGAAGAGGAGAAGTTTTATTTGCAGGTAAGTATTTTAATTACAGGTTAAACAAAATTTTTTTTTTTTTCCATTTTAATAATTTCATTTTTTTATTTTTAAATGTAGTTGGCGGTTGGTGTAGTGGAGATGCGATTGCTTCAGTTGAAAGGTTCGATCCACAATCTGCTGATTGGAAAATGGTTGCTCCAATGAGTAAAAGAAGATGTGGTGTAGGCGTCGCTGTTTTAAATGATTTGCTTTATGCTGTTGGTGGTCATGACGGGCAATCTTATTTAAATAGTACCGAAAGGTAAAACCTAATTTTAAACATTTCTGCACCTAAATCCATTTTCGGTTTATAATAAGGAAAATTATAATTAAAAATTTTCTTTCAGGTATGATCCTCAAACGAATCAATGGTCTTGTGATGTTGCTCCCACAACTTCATGCAGGACGAGTGTTGGTGTTGCAGTTTTAGATGGTTATCTATATGCTGTTGGTGGTCAAGACGGAGTTCAGTGTTTAAATCATGTCGAAAGGTAAATTTTTTTTTTAGGAAATAAATGAAATTGAAAAGATACACATAAAAGGAATATGTTTGAATTGGATTTGTTTTTTTTCAAGATACGATCCTAAGGAAAACAAATGGAGTAAAGTTGCCGCCATGTCTACCAGAAGATTGGGTGTTGCTGTTGCAGTACTAGGAGGCTTTTTATACGCCATTGGAGGATCTGATGGTCATTGTCCTTTAAATACAGGTATCTATTGAATACTTTAAAATGATTATTATTTATGATTTCACTTGGTTATCATCATCACTTTTGTACTTTTTCAAAGTCGAAAGATACGATCCGCGTCAAAATAAGTGGTCTACGGTGGCACCCATGTTCACGAGAAGAAAACATTTAGGTTGTGCCGTGTTTAACAATCTCATCTACGCTTGCGGAGGAAGAGATGATTGCATGGAGTTGTCTTTTGCTGAACGATACAATCCACACACCAACACTTGGAGTCCGATCGTAGCCATGACGTCTAGACGTAGCGGCGTCGGTTTGGCCGTAGTTAACGGACAGTTGTACGCCGTGGGTGGTTTCGACGGAACGGCGTATTTGAAAACGATCGAAGTTTACGACACGGAACAAAATCATTGGAGGTTGTGTGGGACGATGAATTATCGAAGACTTGGCGGTGGTGTCGGCGTCATGAGAGCTCCCGATAATTGTTTTTGGTAAAAAAAAAAAAAAAAAAAAAAAAGTCTTCCGTGTAACAAAGTTATTCCCACATTACATCTTTTTCGCATGAATGTGATGCCGACATTTTTTTTTTTTTTTTTTTCAGGCCGAGATCCGATGCTGTGTAATTACATTCATTCAACTTTCTCATGGTCTCAGTACGAATGGAAATTTAAAAGGGGGGAGGGGGGGGGAAATGCCTGGTGGTAATATTTTTTTTAATACTCGTCGGATGACATTATCGTTAGAGAAATGAATAGAGAAAATGTATGAAATATTGTAAAACCAAAAAATTTAATTAATAGTTACATAAAATAATTTTTTTTTTATATATAAAAATTTGAAAAAAAAAAGAAAAGAAAAATATTTTAACTGATTCATCGGTTGAAACAGTTGCCAATTTTTTTTTATTATTATTATCATTATTTTTTTTTTTAATAGAGTAAGCTACCTTTAATTTTATTGTCAATTTTAAAAATATACTGTGTTTATAAAAAAAGTCCAATAAAGACAAATTTATTGATCCCCTTTCTTTTTAATAAATAGTTTAAATTAGATATATTTTTTTTTAATTAAATGTTCTCGAAATTAATTTTGATCTTTTTACAGATATTTTGGAAAAATGGGAAAAATTTGATTTTGAAAAGATTTAATTATATTTGGAAATAAATTACACAAAGGTTTGATGACTTAAGTCAATCGATTACTCTTTACAAAATAAAATTTTTATGTAACAATGAAGATTTAAAATTTTATTTGCCATTACCTTGACTTCTAACCTACATAAATTTTATAATAATAATAATAATAATTCATTCTAACTTTGTTGTTTAATGCATTCTTGTACTCTTTCATTCATAATTTTTTTTAATTTTTTCCTTTCTTCTTCCATTTTAATGACAGATTTAGGAGCTAATCTTCCTCTTGCTTTTGTTTGAGGCGGTACCCAATTAAGAATATTCAATTGTTCATTTAAATACCCCTCTGCTGAAAAGGATTTACCTTCAGCGATTATATCTTTTAATCCTTGCTGAAATTATAATAATAATCGAGTAACAAAAATCGTTTAACAATTAAATAATTATTAACAAAAATTATTAAACAAACCTGAAATAAAAATTCTTTTTCCTTTTTAACTTTGTGTTTATATTTTTTAATTAAAAATTTATTTCTTTTTAAAAATTTCTTTCTTTTATGTTTTCTCATTTTTTTTATCCTTATTCTTATCATATGTATGGCTTTTTTACTAACAATATTATTTATGGGATCTGTTTTTTCTTGTTTAATAATACATGGAAGTTCGATATCCATAATTCCAGTATTTATTAAAGGAGTTTCAATTTTTTCCATTTTGGTAAAACTAGGATCTATAATTTCTTTTATCCTTCCATTGTAGGGCAAAGGAAAACTTGATGAATGATTCAAAAAGTTGTAACTCACTACAGAATCAATAATCCTACTAGCTTGATTTTTAAATACAGGTAAACTATTATTATCGAAGCTCGACATACATCCATAATTCAAAATTTTATTCGAATTATTAAAATTTGTTAGAGTTGCTGTAAAATATTTTAAATTAACATTAATTTCAATTAAATTGAATAACAAATCATTTGTTTAAATAAAATAAATCACCTTCTCCTTTAGAATAATATTTTTGGTTGATTGTTAGGTTAGATTTCGGTTTTAACTTTAACCCAAACACTAACTTTCCGAAACTTTTTCCCAAATTCATACTTGAAGTAGGTTGTTGTCGTTGTTAAAATTAAATAATTGTTTTTTTTTTTTTATAAATAAAAAATAAACTAAATAATTGATTAATTTTGAGGCACTTTTTGTTCTTCAGATGTATTAAGTACTTCTTGTTCCAATTGTTTTAAATCGATTTGTTGATCCTTCATTGCTTTTCTAACGCATTCATTGTATTGTTGAAATTGTTCCCTGCACATGGAATCATCAGTTTCTCCTTTTAAAAAATGATTTTTAAACCAATTTTGAAAACATGCATCATAATTTTTTTTAAATTCATTACAATTAGGTCCAATACTATTCATTGTTTATTTTGAATTTTTATTTTTTTTTTTTATTAAAGAATTAAACAAAAAAAATTTCAAGTTAAAATTATTAATAAATATTAGTAAATATACATATTACATGGGATGTAATTTTGAATATTCAAAGTTTTTGTTTTTATTCACTGAAGTGAAATAATATTTTTTTTTAGAATAAAATAAATCAAAAAATGTTTTACTTTTTAAAATAACATTTTAAAAATCAAATAATTTTTTTTTTTATTTCAGTTTAATGAGCATAACGCGAATTAAACGAAATTATAGAAAAGAGAAAATAATAAATAATTAAATGAATTAGAAATAATGAAGATAAGAATGTAAGTGCAAAAACATAGAAAATTACTTTTTTTTTTCTTTTTTTTTTTCCTTCACATTATTTTTTTTTTTATTGTTTTAATTTAATACAAAAATATAACTTACTTAACAATTTAATAAAAATATCCTTAATGGATAGAATTCTATGGTTGAAAATTTTTTCTTACTCTATGAAAAGTTTTTAAATATACAGAAAAAATTTTTTGTCAATTATTTGTTTAATATCATGAATTATATTTACTCCTTTAAATTATTAAATTATTAGAAATGTTTAATTAATTTTGAAAATATTTTAATTTTTTCTTGTAATGTTCTATTGTAAAATGTAGGACTCATAATAACAAAATTAATTAATTTTTTATATTGTAATTTTTCATGTTCTTATAATTTTTTTAATTTTTATTAATTAAATACATTTACTGGTGTTTAAATATATTTTAAATTTCTTACTATTAAATTCAAATTTATTTTCATCACTAGCTTTAATAACCAAAAAACGATTTAAAAATTTTAAAAAAATATGGCATAAAATTAATTTTGCCACTCAATTTTTGCAAATCCTAAAATTTTCATAAGATTAATTTTTCAATTAAATTAATTTATTTACATTAAAAGTTATTTTTAGAAAGAAAAAATTGATTAGAGTTTAAAAAATAGAAAAGAGTTTACATATATATTAATTACATAATATTAAAATAAAAATTTAGCCGTCGGTTAAATTCTTATAATGAGTTTTTAAATTTATTATTATTTTTTTGTTAATACAAGGCGGTGGCGCACAATTGAAAGATGGCGGGCCAGTCGAACTGTCAAGATCATCGATCGTGGGTGATCAACCCTGTTCGGGAACGCTTAATTTCAAAAACTACCGTTGAAATATTAATTTTTTCGGAGTTTTTCAACAGATGCGTATTTGAAAAATTAACTCGTTTTAAACAAACGTTTTTTTTTTAATTTCGAAACATTTAACGTTAAACATTTTGTATATATAATAATGACATCAAATTATTTCCGTTAAAATAACGCTGTCAATATCGTTTTGAATTTAGTTGACATAATTATTTTTCATAATTAAACGGTATTTTTCTACAAAAAGCGGGTCGAAAATACATTTCCACGTAAGTATTTATTTTAAATCACTCATAAAATATATTAAAATATTAATTTTTACACTTTAATCCATCTTTATCGATGAGTTTTCCCCATGTATGGTTGTTCATAACCGGTTGTAAATATCATTTTTTTTTTGCTGTTAGATTTTAACAACAGTCATTGGAAATTTTTATTATTCTTTATATTTTATATAATAAATATTTCCTTTATAAGTATATTTTAAATATTGCAACGGTTAGAAAAATATAATCAAATTAAATAAAAACAATATACATATACATACATAATTTATGAATCATTAAAATTAAAAGGATGACAATATCAAAGCATGAATTTGCTAAAATTTACTATTTAATTTTTGACTTTATTATTATTATTATTATTATTATTATTATAATTAACAAATTAATCAAATTTCTTTCTAGTGTAATTACTAATTAACTAAATTACAATATTAGTTTTATTAGTTATCATAATGGTGTCTGTAATTGTTACATCATTTTCTATAAACTTTTTTTAATAGTTATTTAATGTAATTGACCAAATTTTATATTTTTGATTTTAAAAAAAAATTGAACTTTAACCCTTTTTCTTTTATTATCAAGTAAAAATATATAAAATTAAATATATTAAAATTAATAATTTGATGTAGAATATATTAATATGGCATTAACATTCCCTTTCTTATTGAGAATTTTACAAAATTCATTTTTATGTATTTTCCTTTTACTTAAACATTTAAATAAGAAAATTCTTTTTTTTTTTTTTACAACAAAACAAACAATAAAGCAGGTATAATAATAATAATAATTGATTTGTTAAACAAACAAACAAACAAACAAAATGGTTTTAAACAATTTAATTATAATGATATTTGTGTGTTTAAACCTTACATAAGATTTGTGGTTTTTTTTTTTTAATTAAAAAATTTGGTCAATTAGAATATACAGGTCGAGACAGGTTCATGTGTAATCTCCCGAGAAGTTAAAACGAGTAAAGTGATGAGTGGGAGTGGGAGTGTGGGGGGAATTAAGGTATTTAGGAAACAGAGACCGGATGTTATATGGCATATTAATTTCAAATTTTGTCACATTTTTTTTCTTTTTTTTTTTTCCTCGTATTTATATTTTTCCAAGCCGTTTGTATTTTATTTTATTTTATTTACATTTATAAAAAAAAAAAAAAAAATTTGCGTTTTAATTAAAATTATTATTATTATTATTAAAGTTAAAATTTTTTTTTTCCAGTTTATTTACGATCGTTATTGCTTTTTTTTTGGTTTTCGTTTTCCAGTTTTGAATTTTAAATGATTCATTATCATTATTATTAATATTTTTTTATACTCTCATTTACAGATACACATAATGCGTGAGTGCCAAAAATATTCGTCACCGTCATATTCATTTCAAATTTATCAAATGATTTGATTATTAAAAATGTTGGAAACGAATTAATTATTCATTTCACAACGATCAATGTTTAGTTAAAATGATCGGAAAATCGAGGGGGCCGGGTCCCCCTTTTCACAGGAAATGGATACCTTATTTAATATTTATTTTTTCCGCCGTTCAATGCGTTTTTTCGGAAGGAAACAAAATATGTAAGTTTTCATTTTTTCCAATTTCCTTTTTTTTTTATAAATAACAAAAAAATTAATAATAATAATAATTAATCAATAACACATTTTTGCCTCGATATAATAAATATTATTATTATTATTAATAATTTTCGTAAATTAAAAAATATCGAAATATCGAAGTCGTTTAAAAAAAGGATTTTCTTTTGTGATGAGTAAAAAGAAAATTTTTTTTCCATAACATTTTCCAATCAAACACGATTTTCTTTTGGAAAATTTTAAATTTTTTTCACGTAAATTATTATTATTATTATTATTTAGATAACATTTATATAAATAATTATTTTAAAAAATCGATATTTTCATCGATGATTAATAATTTTTTTTAACGCGATTGAAAATTCGTATAACAAAATTTATAAATCAATTAAATTATTGATTCTATATCCTTTATTTAATTAATAATAATAATAATAATAATAATAATAATAATAATAATAATAATAATAATACGTAAAAACGTTTATATCGAATAAAAATTTTTCCATTTCCTTTCGGTTTATTTTTTAATAATAATAATAATAATGATGATGATGATGATGATAGAAAAACATGAAATCTTCAAGTTTCCTATATAATCTCGATAAAAAAAACTTTTTTCTCATCAATCAATAACCTGAAAATTTATTGACGATGGTTGTTCAATCAGAGAGAGAGAGTTAAGCGTTATTAAAATGATAACATTTTCACTTTCTTTTTTCTTTTTTTTTTTCTAGAAAAAAATCTCGAAGATGCTTTTAACAAGCGTTTCCTACCCCCCTCTCTCCTCCCCTCCCCTTTCTCCTTTCCCTTCGTCTTTTTTCTTTTCATTTTTCTCTTTCTTTTTATTGTCATTTTTTTTTTTTTTTTTTTTTGTAACGGTTTTGCAGAATAATCAACAGTTTAAAAACAAATTTAGATTAGATTATCATTATTATTATTATTATTATTATTCTATTATTATTATTATTATCCTTTTGGAAATAAATAAATTAAAAGCGATCTCAGGTGTAAAGTGTTCATTTTCGGTCCGATTCCTATTTATCATTTAAAATAACGAGATTTCATTTTCAAAATAATTTATTTATTTATTTATTTTTTCGAATTTAAACATTGTCCGAACGCGTATACGAATAGAAACTTTTGAATTATTATTATTATTATTATTATTATTATTATCATCATTATTAAATAATAGATTTTTTTATTTATTTAAATTTTAATTTTGGGGGGTTATTATTGGGACAAGTGACAAAAACCAAACGATGAAATCAAAATTTTTTTAAAAATTTAATTTTAAATTAGCATATTTTTAATTAACTTTTTATTATTATTATCATCATCATCATCATTATTATTATTAAATAAAAGCTTTAAAACCAAAAAAAAAAAAAAAAAAAAAAAAAAAAAGGAAAATTCTCTAACAAGAATTTTTACTGCATTTTATTTAAGCAATTATATTTACGAGGTTTTTTTTTATTTTATTTTCTTCTTCTTCTTCTTATTTCACAATCATAATCAACTCCAGACAAAAGCTGACATGGAGAAAGAAAAAAATAATAATAATTGCTTTCATTTCCAATCTTTTTTTATATCTTTCTTTTTCCAGCTTTTATTGAGATTTTATATATATTTATATAGGTAAAGATAATTTTCATTAGGGTCGACAGAAAAAAAAAAAAAAAAAAAAAGAGATTAAAGCTTTACGAAAATAATAATAATTATTATTATTATTACGGTTAAATTTCTTATAGTTTTTGATTAAGAGAAAGAGAGAGAGAGAGAGAGAGAGAGAGAGAGAGAGAAAGAGAGAGAGAAAATCAAACTTCAATAAAATTTTTTTTTTCTTTACTTATTTATGCATCGAAAGGAAATGGAAAAAAAATTTTTCTGACGGATTTCAAAAGAAAATTATTATTATTATTATTATTTGGTAATAAATAGATAGTTTAGTCATATAATAAAAATTTTATTGCACAATTTTCACGTTTTAAGTTTTTATGTGCGTGTGTGTGTGTGCGTGCGTGTGCGTGTGCGTATGCGTATGTATAAATTGAAATACTTTATCCCGGGAAAATTTGTCATTTTTAAAACTTCATTTTTTTCCCCAAAAAGTTTATTATTAATATTATTATTTGTCAATATAGTTTTGCCCTAATTTGTTTTAAAAAAGAAATCAAATCAAACAAACAATGAATGAATGAATGAATGAATGAATGAATGAATAAATGAATTCGATTCCCCCTTTTATTTATATTGCCATTTAGAAAATTATTATATATATATATATATATATATATATATATATATATATATAAAGAAAACAAATATAAAATAAATAAGTTAAAACTTTTAATAATGTTTAATTGTTAGGAAAAATAATAATAATAAGTAAATCGATTGGTCGTTTGTTTCGATAGTTATATATACGATTACTCGATACGATATCGAAAAATATCGAAACGATAGCAAAAAAAATTTTCCTGATGTTTTTTTTCGTATCGAATTTGATTTTTGTAAAAGTAATAAATCATCAACGATTATATTAATAACAAATTTATGTAAATAATAATTACGAGGTTGGAAGAAAAACAACAATATGCGCATGCGTGAAATTTCTCCCCCCCGCCGCTCCCCCCACGATTTCTACCATATTTCTATATTTTTTTTTTTTTAAATAAATAATTTTAATTGGATTAAAAAAAAAAAAAAATATATATATATATATATATTTTTTTTTTTATTTCATTATTATTTCTTCTTTTAATTCTTTTCTTTTTTTTTCTTTCTATTTCTCTTTTGCTTTTTCTGGATAAAATTGGAAAAAAAGAAAAAAAAAGAATAAATGAAATTGGAAAATCGTTCGGTATCTATTATGAAAAGGAAATGAGTAAAAAAAAAAAAGCAAAAAAAAGAAATAAAATAATAATAATAATAATAATAATAATAATAATAATAATAATAATAATAATAATAATAATAATAATAATAATAATAATA